TATGGCAAAGTGTTTTTAGTAAAAATAATGCAAATTCCTTTCGTATTTGTTGTTTTAAATCTCATTGAACATTTTTTCTCAGGTTAAAAGTCTTTGCCTTAATTGCAATTTTTTATCTCTGCTTGAGGGAAAAATAGTGGGATTCATTCATTAAAAATTAAATTTAAATTACCATTTTCTAATAAAATAAATGTATGAAATAGTCAAAAATTAAATTTATGGAGAGTTTTCCATTTTGATCATGTCTATATATTTTTAAAATGCTAAAAAGGAAGCTATTCTGCTAAAAAGGAAGACAGAAAATTTTATACATTGATATTGAATCCTGATGTGGTCCTCAGGATGGATGTTTAAGAGAGGAAAAGTTATTGAAATCTGAAAAATCACTATTGATAAAGGCGGGTATTCTGAAAGTAAAAACCTATTTGTTTATCTGTCTAAGCTTATAAGTGTTTCTAATGATTGTCTTATGACAACCAAATTGATTCCCATAGCTGTTTTCTTCAGTGCAGTTTTTTTCTTATATCTTTTTTCCTCGTTTGCATACTAATTTGTGACACTGATGCGTTCGCTTTTTTTGTTCTCAGTTTTGACTAAAAATCTAAAAATATTTATTAACGGTGTTCATTACGACTCACCCTGCATTGTAATTTATTTTACAAATTGTAATTTATCCTTGAAAATTATCTTTTTAAGAATTTAAAAAAAAATTCTGATGGGTAACATTTTTAAAATGCAATACTTACAAAACTGGTCTTGAATAAAATCAACAAGCATCCAGATTGAAGAAGATTAGAAAAAAGAATAAGTTTTATAATTCTGAATAATAAAAAGATAATAAAAAGTATTTTAAACAGAAAAATTGAGTTAATTATTTTTTTGGCTATAAAATTGAATTTTTAGTTTAAAAATACTATTTCGCATTTATCGGCAGTTTTTGAATATTTTGTTCAATTTCAATTCGACACCGTTGTTCGGATAACAACTTTGAAACTCTTCCATATTGCGACTGATATCAAGCTTACTAATAAAAGACAGCGTGTCTTTCAAATATCTGGAGAATTTATTTATTACATCATAAAGTTGCCAAACTGAAAACAAATTGTTTTTGTCATACAGAAAACTATTACAAAACTGAAATAAATTTAGTTTCTCCTCCTGGTTTAAATCATAAAATGTCTTAATAAGCTGTATGAATAAAAATTTATTTGGTTGAAGACAGTAAAAACATATGAAGCTGAATAATCAGAATTATATTTCAGCATAAATTACTTCTTTTTCTCACGAATCAATTAGTTTTTATATCTTTTTGCAACTTGATAAGATAGTAACATTGGTGTTTGCTCAAGAGATCAATTCTTAATTAAGCTAAAAAGCTGAAGAAAGTAAGTTGTTGTTAGATATTTATGGTGGAAAGTTTTAATGAAAATTGTATTATCTCCAGAATGATGGTGAAAGAGAAGTTATCCAGAATCATAAAAGGAATCCAGCGACGTGCGATAAACAATCCTTATAATAATTCATTTTATCAAAAATCTCATATAAAATCCATTTCTTTTAAATAAAAAAAATTGAATTAACAAGAACAAAAAAAAGATAATTTGAAGATTATTCAAAGATTATTAGTTTACTAGTAAGAATAAGAGTTAAAATTTGAGATGCGTTGATTTTCAGGAAATCTGCATGCTTAGAGGTTTCCATAGACGCTGACATTTTTGGCGTGATTTCTCTGTCATAAATATTTAATTAAAGTCAGCACTAAACCTTTTTGAAATTAAAATTTTAGGCTGAGCACATCTTCTCAAAGACCCTTGTTTCTGACTGGAACAAATGTTTAGAGATTATGAAATGTTTAAAGATTATGAAAATATCCAGAGTTGGGTTACGACCTGCAATCATTTAATAATAACTTGTAACAACTAATAATTCTCCAATAATTACCCGAAGTAATTACAATAATTACATGAAAAATGTTTAATTATTTCATATTATATGAAAGATAAAAGTTTCAAAATACAAAGGTGTGTAAGAAAAAATTATACTGAGTACAACAGAAAAAAAATTCAATAATCTGTCCATTGAATTGAAACTACAGAGTTGAAATTTGACATGGTGATAAGACCATTTTGTATTGTAGTTCTAAAGAAAAACTTTTTTCGAAATTTCTATTTGTTCAAAAGTTATTGCAATTTAAAGTGCTTTTTTTACGAATATTTTCACAATTTTTTTACTCTATATTATAATTTGCATTTATGTTTAAAATCTATAAGACTTTAAGGCATGAAATTACGAGGGAGTGTTGAAGGAAAGTTCGACAAAAAAAAAAAAATCATATTTGACAATTAGTTCGGAAAATACTAACTGTAAGTATGTAGTAAAAATAAAATTATCATTGAATTGATCAATATTCCGTCAGCTGAAATAAAACTACACTGTTGGAAGTTGGAAATTTGACGTGCTGATGAGACAGTTTTTTATAACAGTTGTAACGAAATTGTTTTTTGAAATTCCTATTTGTTCGAAGGTTAGTGTAAATTTAAGTGTATTTTCGCGGGTTTTTTAATATGTTTTTTTGCTTTTAATATTGACTATGTATCCATTGTTGAAGAAAATTTATTTTTAACTCATGAGATAAAAATAAATTTTCATGAGAAAAAAATAAAAGATTTAATTATAATCTCGTGCTTGAGTGGACACCAATCAAAAGTAGAGAGAGAGAGAGAGAGAGAGAGAGAAGAGAGAAGAGAGAGAGAGAGAGGGAGAGAGAGGGAGTGGGAGAGCACATGCAGTCAGATATAAATATTGACATTCATAGTAGAATTTTTTTTTTGAAAAAAAAAAAAAAAACCTTAGGAATAAAATCCTCTCCCTATTTGAATTGCGAAAAATCTTTTCAACAAGCAAAATTACTTTGAATATTTTTTTTTAATGGCGGGCACTTCGGATGTATTGCCCCATTGGCCAGGAATGCTACTCTCTTCTCGTTACCCGGTGGGCACTTGTGGCGAAATTACGGCGGTGGAGCAGCGTCGCCCATGTCACGCAACCACAAACCAGTTTGTAGGGCGGGTCACATTCACATAATCACACACAGAAAGAAAGAAACACTCATGCATTGAGCAGGATTCGAACCTGCGATCAGCGGCTCCGCAGTCAGGCACGCTGACCGCTCGGCCACCAGGTCGGTGACTTTGAATTTATTTCATCTTATTGTGTATCACAATCGGAACTCTTAGATTAGTTTTTTTTTTTCGAGTAAAGATTATTATTTTTTTTAAATTTAAGGAATCCTCTATTTCGTTATTAACAAAATGTTCTTACACAAAGCTGCAATAATTGTATATTTTGAAACCGAAATGTTTATTTGTTTTGTGGGAAATATTTACGTTAAAGAAGAAATAAACAACGAGGAATGCGAAGCAATTAGCAGAGTCGAAAAGCAAAGCGATCAGGGGGGCGAAGACTCCTAGAAATATTAATTGTTAACAAAAATTTTAGTTGCTTAGAGGTGTTATTTATTAAACTTTGTAAGATTTATCTTAAATAAAAAAAGCTACAAAAAAAAATCAGAATGTTAGGAGGCTAACTTAAATCGAAGATATTTCTAAATAGGTGATTTTATCAATTTGTGCCGTGAACGGCTCATATACAAATATTCATAAGAATAAAGGAGTAGTATTTTTTTGCTTATATTCACTTTTTTAAAATTGGTGGATATTTTTCCTATTACCTATGTATTTCTTTTATATTTCTTTTAAGTAGATCTAACTTTCTCTAGTTTTATAAAAGCACTATTCTTTGACTTCAGATCCATATCTTTATTGAAAAATAAAAATTATTTTAAATTTAAGATATTTCAAAATAGGCTATTTAATCAATTTGTGCTGTGACCGGCTCAAATAAAAATACTCATAAGAATAAAGGGGTAGCATTTTTTTGTCAGAGGCGCCATCTATGGCCAGGAATTCGACTTCTGCCACGCCATTCCACAACCCGTTTATAGGGCGCTTGGCGAATAGATAGGGCGGGTCACATTCACACACAAAGGAGAAAGGACATAGAACACACACAGAGAGAAAGAAACATCCATGCCTTGCCCGGGATACGAACCCAGGACCTTTCTGATGCAAGTACAGTTCCCTGCCCCTACACAGGCCGGGGTAGCATTTTTGTTTTGCTTACAAAATACTTGTTTTTTTCGTTTATATTGGTGGAAATTTTTTTTTCTGCTACCAATCTATTTTCTTAATAATCTCTAAAGATCGTTCTTTTTCTTGCTCTATGAAAGCACTATTCTCTTACTTCAGATACATATTTACATTTAAAAATAAAATTGGATCCAAATGTATAAATATTTAGTGACAGAACTACCTTAGTAATCAAACAGTAATTCTAGTAATAAAACATTTACGTGATTAGGATTATTTTTGTCTGAAACAAAGTAGTTCTGTCAGCAACTATTTATATTTGTATATGATATCTATTTTATAAGTATAAATGGGTTAAATGAGTGTTAAAGCATGATGCTACGATAGTTTTGTCACTCTTTTGACCCATTTATACCTATAAAACAGAATTAGTAAAAAGAAAAGATGCAGTATTTAAGGATTCTCGTACATTATCCTTTAAATCATTTTTTCCCATTCACAATTAGTGGTCTTGATATACAAAAACGTCTGTGTAAAAAAAGTTGCCGCTCATATTTGTTTATATTAAGGGGATATTTCTCTTTCTAGTCTTTAATCTTAACAACACTCCACTTTGACTTCAAATTAATATACAAATTTTTATATCATCGATGTAGTTATGGCGTAAGGAACTATCTTGTTTCTGAAAATAAGTCCTAATAATAAAATGTCTGTGCAACCAAAAAGAAAAAAAATCATTTTAAAGAGATGACACAAGAGGGTTAAAAAAAATTGGTTAAAGCAAAGTGGGTTAGAACAAATTTCAAAAGGAATACAATAAATACAATTTAACCATTGAGTTAGACGCACATATAATCAGTATACTTTATAATTAGAAGGAGTATTTTTTGCATGATACGATTTTGTATAGAAATTAATAAACAAAACTAAAATTAGCGTAACAAAAATGTAAAAAGTTATTTTAAATCTTCCAAAATTTTCACAACCAGTCACAAATCCATAAAGAGAATATGATAGAATGACAACGAACTGTATCTAGAAACAAAAACAAAAATAGTTAATGATAATACATTGTGAAGAAAAGCATTTTCAAAACTACCAGAATATTGTAAAATTTACCGTGCTTTTGCTTCTGTGGAAACTCCAAGAAGCTCGGTAATTCTAACCGAGGCACTTTGATACTTTGGTAAAATTAAAAATAAAATATGGTTTTATACTTAAAACCATATTTTATTTTTAAAAATAAATTCATTAAATAATTTTTAATAATTTTTAATAATGATAATAGTAAATAATTTTTAGTAGTGATAGTTAGTAAATAATTTTTAATAATTTTTAATAATGATAATAGTAAATAATTTTTAATTGTGATAGTTAGTAAATAATTTTTAATAATGATAAAATTTAGTAAATTAGTGTCTTCTTTCCTTACCAGAAATGACATTACCATTTGTTTTCTCCGTGTAAGCATATTAAAAATCTTAGTGTTTTGAACACCAGGAAATCAAGATGTACATTAAAAATTTATTTTTAGAAATAAATGAGTAAAAACAAACAAATGAAACTGAAATGCTTGAGGAAATATAATGACCAATCGCACTTTCAGAAGGTTGAAGAGAACGTTTTGGGGGGAATGAGACCAAGAATTTTGCGTTGGTCATAAGGTATTTGGTTATATTAAGCAGTTATCTAATGGATATTTATCTAGGGTATATTGTAAGGAACATATCTCGAAAAAATACTAAACAACAGTTTGATTTACGCTTGAAAAAAATTTAATTTGTCGCTATATTGTCCAAAATTCTGTTTCTCATATAAACGATTTTGAAATAAAAAAAGGCATATTCTCCGAAGAGCAATGAGTAAAGAGTATAAGTACAAATTATAAACTTTAGCGAGTGTTATATGTAAGTGCGAAATGAAGAAATAAAGAGTAAATATATTTTTATTTTATAACCGTCGTTGAACAGAAGACTCACATTTGAGTTGACGACTAGTAATGTTCAATTCCATAGTCTTGGAATTTTGAATCCAATCCAGAAGACAAGAGAACTCCTGGATGTGATAAGGAAGTTGAGAACTTGGGAGAAATTTTGCCTTTGTGGAGGACTTTTCAATGGAACTAATTCTCATTCGCGTTACATGGAGAGGAAAACATCGAAAACCTCCCACGTTTAGCCTCATGGCAAGGGGACTCTAACTTATGATCCATCTACTAATAAGGAAATTTTACTTCAGCACGTGGTCGGTGTGAGCCGGGTGCGGAATTCGTATCAATTAGCCATCGCTGGGATTCGAACCCAGGTCTTCATTGGGAGGCGAGTGCTCTATCCCTAGAGCCACCACGGCTCAAGTAAATCTATTAAGATTATTTTGCAGAAAACTTGAAACAAAGTCATCGTAAACTTTTATGATAAAGTGTAAAGTAAAAGCTAAATTTCATTTTAAGCTGAGGAACAAACTTTTTATTTTTTATTTTTTTTATTTTTTTGTTAGTCTACTGCCTAACGAAGTTTATTTTTTCCCGTGAATTCTTAAATTACTCAGTTTTTGAAGTTTAATATCCTTAAAATTCTATTTAAATATGACTTAAATAGCAGCACATTTTAAGAATTAAACAGTTAATTATGTTTATAAATTTTAGTTAGCAGCCAAACATTCAAAAGAAATGTATTACTTTAAAGAGTCAGGTGATGGATCTCTAGCTAAAAAAAAAAAACAAAAAGCCCCTCCCCCCACACTATACATCACAGTAGCCCCAAGCAGTGATCTAACGTTTTAGGGACGTTTATAACAATGGAAAAAATTTAAATCAAGATGTCATTCACAAACTAAAAACCCACATTTGTGAAGAAATAATAATCTGAAAAGCATTATGCAACCAATTTTACTATCCTAAATTTTAGTCAATGGCCGATTTACAAAAAATTACTTCAAAGTGTGGTCAACGTCAATTAATGTTCCAACGAAGTTTCCATTGTACTTTTTAAATTCTTTTATTTTAAGATACTCTCGTTAGTTTTCTGTTTTAATTTTTAACTACAACGAGACAATAAGGGCGATAGTTGAGGAACATCTTTTATTTGTGGGGACAAAAAACGAATGATTTTTTTAGAAAAGTTTGAAACTGAAATAAGTAAAAATAAAAAGGGTAATAATGTAAATGCTTACTATTTGGAGTAGTGTTAAATATTTTTTCCACCATAAATACTTTTGCATATGTGGTCCAATAGATGCTAGTGCATAATACGAATACATTACCACATGAATGGATGTATTTATTGCTGTACCAAACAAGCATACGAAATCTAAAAAGCAATAAATAATTAATGACTCATGCAATAATTAATGCAAAACTGAAACAGAGCTACAAGTTGGGCGGAAAGAAAATCAATTGGCTTTGACTATGACTAGTAATTTGCGCAAGTAACATTACAGTTTATAAATATACTTTAACTTTAATAATGCATTGATAATTTACGCGGTAAAATTCTAGTATTCCTTACAATGCTTGGGGCGATTTAGAAAAATATCGCCTACGTTGAAATGGCGCCTTGTCGCTCAACACCGAAGTGACGTTTTTACGATGTTGCCAAGAATTAACGAAGGCCAAAAATCCGCCGAGTAACATATATGTACTATGTTTTCGAAAGCTCCATCGTAATATGAAATGATGCTTTTTTGCGAATAATATGCTATTCTTATAACTGCTCTAAGTTTGCAACAGTTAATCATGACTCTTATGTCAAGTTTAGCCTATCTAATGCCATCGCTTATTTTGAAAATGGCGCAAAACGTCAATATGGAGAAAAGCCACAGTTTTGTGAAAAATAAAAAGCGTTTGTAGTCTTGTTTTTTAATATTTATAAACTTAATCCCACACTGCATTACTTGGGCTCATAAAAATGCCAATTTTTTTTATTTTCCTTGGCGAAGAACTTCGAAAAACAGCGTTAAGCCATTAACGCAAGAGAGAGAGAGATGCGTTTTATCAAAGAGAGATAGGATTAGGTTTATTAAAGGGAGGTAGGGTATGATTTGGTTTTTACAAAAGTAGTTAACCCACAAACGCTGAACAGACGTAGAAACTTTTCAACTTTTTTTTTTTTAGGATTTTATATTTTTGTACAAATATAGAATCTAACACATAATAACAATAATCTAACACATTTTCTTAGTAACTTTTAGACAGTTTTTTATAATTAAAAAATGCCAAAATATATTTTGCTTGTAGTTAGAGGGCCAGAAGAAAAAAATATAGAAGAGGTTCCAATCTAATTTATTTTCTTACCAGTAGTTCTTATGTAAAAACCAAACCCAAATAAGAGAACATTTGCTGAGTGATGAAACACATGAAGGAAAGTTAGTTGATTCTTCTTCTTTCGAAGAGCAAAAAATACCTAATAAGAATAGAATGCGCAATGATGAATATTATAGAATAAATAGAAAATAAAATTGTCTAAGAAAAAAGGTTTAAAGTTAAGTACTTTATTGAACTGCAATAGGACCTCGGTAATCTGAAGGAATTGGGTCTGAACCTCTTTGAAAAATCAAAGCACTCAAATTTTGAAGGTTATATTAATAGTTTTTATATAAGTAATAAGTTTTTAAAGTTTTTCTGCAAGCTCAGTGATCATTGTAGCAGACATCTGAGCTATCGAGTTAGCATTTCTAAAGTTATCCGAAAGCAAATGTTTATTTTTTGCTTTTAAAACGCGTTTTTATTAAAACTAAACAAATTAAAATCAACGGTAAATGAAATAAAGAAAAATAAATTATGTTTTAAAAAGCAATGTTAATGAAAAAAAAGGTACTTATTCGATACCAACCGCAAAAACTATCGTCATACTATTATTGACGCCAATGAACTTAATTAATTTTGGTAACTATTATATTATTGGTATTAGGAAAATTGGTGCTGTTTCTAATTGGTACTAAATGTACTAATATAGGCGTTACTGTAAGCTGTGTGCTTTTTTACGGTCCACCGAAGGGGACAAGAAGAAAATGGATCGATTGATAATATAATCGATATATAATTTTTGACTAGCATGAGTTAGCCTTGAGCAACAGCATCATGTCAAATGATACTGATTATAGTTAATATTTACTTTTATTGGATAGACATAATAAAGTTTCTTATAATAAACCTACCTGAAAGGGAAAAAAAATGAAATGATTTAGCTTTATTAATTATTTCAGTGTATTTCTTTCAGTTTCGTGCAGATTTCGTTGAGTTGATTAGAGCTTTGTAGCTAAAATTCTCGAATCCAACTCCGACTCCAGACTTTCTTGAAAGCTTGACTCCGACTTTAAAGAAGATTACTTTTCATAAAATCATTATTTTAAGAAAGGAGTTACATATAGATATATCCACCAATACACTTGTTATATAGCTAATAGTTGTATATAAGCTGCATATATGTTCTATATGAGTTTCGTATAAGTCCATATAAGTTACATATAAGTTCAATATAAATCCATATAAGTTACATATAAGTTCTATATAAGTTCATTAAAATTCCATGTAAGTTCCATATAAGTTCCATATAAAACAATATAAATTTCATATAAGTTCTGTATAAGTAAAATATAAGTCCAAAATTCCATATAAGTTGTTATATAGTTACATGCCAAATAGTTCTAAGGAAAATAGAGCTCGGCACCTAGGTTCTTGAACAGTAAAAACACTGTAGTAAAGGAAAAGTTCTTTCCTCGTTTTTTCGTTATTAATATTTTTCGATATTTATCGCATACTGATATTTATCAATGTAGTTATTTTCTGAAATTAATATTGTATCGATATTATTGTAGCTGTTAATATTGATATTTATTGTATTTTTGATATATCATAAGAATCTATAATACCATGATTAGCCAAAAATATCAATATTTGCCAATATATCGTTTATGTCTACTTGCCATGCTCCTCCTCACATTCTGACTTTGGAGTGTTACTTGGTGACTTGTAATGACTTGTTTTCATTTGTCTGACGTCACTCCTTCTCATTTTTGTTATCTATTTCATTTGAAATTCAGTTATTGGGAGTACAAATTAGTTCAGTCCGTTTTTTTGTGGTCAAAAATGGTCATTTATTTCAGAACAAAATGAATGAACAGATTAATCAAAGTATTGTCTATTGCTGGCTACTACTTTTTCCCACCTCTCAGGTAATTTTCGAAATCCATCTCGAAAAAATGTCTCGTTTTTTGAGGCGATCCAAGTTAGGAGCCAATTTTCGAAGTTAGTGAACTGGTGACCTGCAAAATCATGCTGCATCCGTCGGAACAACCAGTAATCAGAAGGAGCAATGTCCAATGAATACAGCGGGTGTGATAAAATATTCCATTTGAGCGTTTCCAAATAGTTTTTTACGACTTTTGAGACATCAGTCCAACCGTTATTACGCAGAAAAATAACTTTGTCATGTCTTTGCTCGTATTCCACTCTTTTTTCTTGTAATGCACGGCTCAAATGAATCAATTGTAGTCTATACCAATCGCCCGTAATGGAATCACTAGTTTGTAGCAGCTCATAGTATACAAAACTATTCACCCTTTATCATTCACCATTTACCATTCTTTATTCCCCATTAACCATTCTTGAAACGTCGAAACCATTCCCTACATGATTTATCAGTTAGAGCATTGTCAAGATAAACTTCTACAAGCATTCAATGCGTTTCAGCTGCACTTTTCTTTCAATTAAAGCAGAAACATAAAACTTCCCGCAAATGGGGCTTCATTACCGCAAAATTTGACATATTCAACAAAGTAAAAAACAGGGTTTTTGTATGAAACTCAAAGTGATGTAAACTGAATATTATTGACAGATGCTTAACCTCTCTGAAACCACCGAAACCAGCTGTCACTATATAACATTCAAAACAGCAGAGTCATTTTTAAAAAACGGACCGAACTAATTTGTACACAATAGATGCTAGTGCATANGGTTTTTGTATGAAACTCAAAGTGATGTAAACTGAATATTATTGACAGATGCTTAACCTCTCTGAAACCACCGAAACCAACTGTCACTATATAACATTCAAAACAGCAGAGTCATTTTTTAAAAACGGACCGAACTAATTTGTACACCCAATATTTTTTCACGAGGTATCATGAATTAAAACAAGTATTGATACTTAAAAAAAGGGGAAAAAATAAGTGTGTAAAAAAACAACCTGGAAACAGTAAGCAGTTTGAATCATTTGAATCATTTTGTAAATGAAAAATGTTTGTATTATTTGTTTAGAATATAAACAATAGAATTTGAAAATGGCATTAGTGAGAAAATAATTTCTTAAGAACCGTGGTAGCCCAGTGGTTAGAGAATCGGACTCCGGTCCGGAAGTGACGTGGTTGCTCACAATGGAATAAATGCTCGTAATGTAATACGTGCTCTTGAAACCTGTGGAATTGAAAGTTATAGGTCACTGAGCAATATCATGGGTACAAATATCTGGGGAGAATTTCTTTCTCCTTCAGATCCATGTCTAAATTTAGGAAATGCACAAACGCATAAGTGGTACTTCCATCTATCAGCAGGGTTCTGATCTATAATATACTTTCACACATGCGGTGCTCTTATACCAAACGAAAGGCAACAGTAATTTGATTGTGTCAGTTATCCAATTAGTTTTTAGCATTGTAATAGTAATTATATAATTTTCATGCATTTTTATATATCTTTGACATATTATTCTATTTCATTCATTAGAATAGTATTTTCTTTACAAAACTACTCTTGCAGTTATATTTCAATCAAAAAATAAATCATTCATAGTCAATTTTGTTAATCAATATTTGCTCCAAGTATTAACAAAAGGTCATACGAAACCCTTATACTTGGCTATTAAATATTATATCACAGATTAACAATAAACTTTATATAACTTTATTAACAATAAACTTTATTATAACTTTAGAAATTAATTTTTGCTTCTTATCTCTTGAAAAACTTAAAAAAAATTGTAACCTGAAATAAGGCGATTAAAAATTTTTTTTGTAAAAACATTCATGATTATAAAATTGTAAATAGTCAAACAAAATAGCATAATATTTGTTTTTTTTTACCGTATCCAACAACTCCAAATACTTAGTCATCCAAACATACCACATTATGTGCAAGCCTCTCTGTTAAATAAAAGAAATGGATGGAAATGAATATAAAGCAATAGCACTATTTCGATAAATATTATTGTAAAAAAAAAAAAGACGAATTTTATAACTGATGACGTTGTTCGATGAGTGTCGAAAATCACGTAGATGCTTTGGTAGAAATCAGAAATATTTCTTGAATATCATTATTTTTCACTTATACAATCGTGTGTTGACAATCAACATACCACCTTGATCAAAAAGTTCCCGGAATAACCCCCGGGTGGTGGAACTACCATCGTTCCGATTTGAGTTCTGTTTTTTTTTGTTAAGTTGGTACATCTGTTGTTGGTATTCCCTCTAAATCTTAGCGTCATAGCTGACATTTGCAAAAGTTACGTAGCCAAAAGTACTTCTACCTCTGTGTGTGTTGGCGATTTTTTTACAATTTCAGAAATGGATTTAAATTTGCAACAACGAACTTGTATTAAATTTTGCGTAAAAAACGGTTTTAATAGTGCGCGAACGTTGGGAAAGTGTTTCGGCAACGATTTTTTTTAAAGAAAACGGTCGTTTACCAGAGGCACGAGCGGTTCAAAAGTGGTCGTGAGTCAATCGAAGGTGATGAACGCAGTGGCAGATCATCGACATTGAAAACCGACGAAAGCATTGATAAAGTAAAAGAAATGTTGGTCAATAACCGCAAATTAACCATCAGAAAGATAGCGGAGGGCTTGAACATTGCATATGGATCCGTCCAAGACATTTTGGTTAATAATTTGGATTTCCGTCGTGTAGCAGCAAAGTAGGTGCCAGAAGACCTCAATTTCACATAAAAAAGAGACCATGTTGACGTCACAAAAGACATGATTTGCGAGACTGAATCCGATCCTACATTCATCAAAAGAATCATTACTGGAGACGAGACATGGGTTTATGAGTACGACACGCAATCCAGACATCAGGCAAGTGAATGGCGTTCATCAAATGGTAATGGTGTTCATCAAAGTAAAAATCGCAGGAAGCACTGATGGACATACCGAAAACCGAAAGTAAAAAATGTTTCGCGGATTGGATCAAGCGCTGGTATAAGTGTGTTGCAGTCGATAGGGATTACTTTGAAGGGGACAATATAGATTTAGATGAATAAACTTGCATTTTTAATTTTCTTAATAAATTCCGGGAACTTTTTGATCAAGGTGTTACACTAATAAGGTTACGAATTATGGTTCTCACATTGACAAATGTTGTTAACCAATGTATGTACAGAGCGCAAAAAATAAACGGAGCACTCTGCATAACTTTTGATATAATGATTGGACCTTCACAGTCTACGACTCAATCTTAATGGTGTGAGGGTTATATAGACTAATAAATATGCTAATTAATTTGTGCAGACGATATTAAGTTACGAAATCAAACACAAAAACTTACTTTCTCTGAATGGCTCACAGCTTTTTTGACTGATTTGGATTACTGACCTCAAAAATATAGGGAGTTGCCCTAATCTGGGAAATATGGTCATGATTGAGTGAATAAGGAGAACGGTGAAAAGTTTGGATCCCTTTTTGCGTATTTCGCCATATCCCCAGAACATTTTAAGCGAAATGAAAAACTTTTGCACTCAATTATAAAATTTGTTTATCCAAAGATAATTCCAGTAAAAAATAATTTCTAGTAAATTTTTATAATTTTTTATTATTTTATTAATTAGTAGTAAAATATTTTGTGCGCATTTGGCGACTTAATAAATTGTAATAATATCAGAAAATGAACTATGCAATTTAATTGCAGAAAAAAATAATAAAAGAGGAATAAAAATATACAATAGAAAGATAAAAATTACGTGTATTTGCTGTTTCGGAATTGTTTCAACTGTACATCTATTCTTCCAATTTTCGGCAGTCGCAATTATTGCCTGCAAATAGAAAAAAAATAAAAGCACTTATCTCAAAAGGATTGATTTGACAAGGAATCTTAACTTCAATAATAAAGCAAATTGAAATTAATGAACATGAATTTCATAATGATTGCAATAGTCTAAACAGTTTCTCTATATTAAAAAGACGAAAGAGCCATCGGCTCAGCAGCTTTGTGCTCCAAAGTAATATGCAACTTAACGCTACATATTGTTTTATTGGAAAAAAAATCAAATTTAATAAAATTGATAATGCATGGGTTGTTAGAAAAATACAGCAGGAAGTACAATGAAATAAAGAAATATTTAACACTCTATTATTAGTTCGAGAGAGTTATAACAGTTATTACTGCTAAACATGTAGAAAAAAAAACACCATATGAGCTTCTCTTTCTCTACAAGCCATAGGAATTCAACTTAAAAATTGAAAGTGCCATATTTGTTTATTAGTTAAATACAGAATTTTTTTTCGAAATTCTTGTTTCGAAAGTTATTGCAAATTGAAATAATTTTTTTGGTGAATTTTTCATAACTTTTTTTTCTTTTAGCTTCACTTTTGTTTTATCGCTTCTTTCGCTTTTACATTTTGTTTTGCTGCACAAAATCATAGATTTAGAAGCTCGAAATTATGTAGGTATACAAAAAAAAGTACAGGGGGTATGACGGGATAAAAAAAATCAGATTTTACAATTAGTTTAAGAAAAATTAACTGTTAAACTTTTGGAGAAAAATACCATTTTTGGTCGATCTGGTCCACTGAAATTCAAGTACGTACTTTAAACTTGAGAGAGAGAGACAGAGAGAGACAGAGAGAGACAGAGAGAGACAGAGAGAGAGAGAGAGAGAGAGAGAGAGAGAGAGAGAGAGAGAGAGAGAGAGATTGCAACAATTGGAGAAGAAAATGATTGACAGCTACCTTTCTAGGTGGCCCTGGTATTGGCTGGCGTTTGTTTCAGACCTGTTTATATGGTCTAGTTCTTGAATTCGAGAACTTGGAGGAATTTCTCTCTCCAAGAAATTAGATGACTCGTCGACACTGTCCAAGTTCTTGAATGTCACTGATTGGTCGGATGAAAAACTTGAACATTCGCATTGTTTATATTCAACATCATAAAATCATATTTACATGAATTCAAAATTACAAAATAAATTCAAATAAAATCATAATAAAACAAATCGATCCTAACAGATTAATTTATTTGGTTTAAAATATATGAAAAAGAACAGCAAAATGACTTAATCAGATGCCTGCTTGTTGGCGTCATAAAAAGTTAGGAGCTGATTGGTTAAGGAAGGAAACATCTGGATGGAAAGTAGAACATGCTCTACTATCATCCAAGGGCTTAAGGCCTATTTTATATGGTCCAAGTTCTTGGATCCAAGAACTCGGAGGAATTTCTCTCTCCAAGAAATCGGATGATTCGACGACACTATCCAAGTTCTTGAATGTGCCTGATTGGTCGGATGAATAACCTGCTCATGTGCATTGTTTGTATTCAACATTATAAAATCATATTTACTTGAATTCAAACTTACAAAATAAATTCGAATAAAATCGTAATAACACAAAAAAGGATCCTAACATTTTAATTTATTTGGATTAAAATATATGAAAACGGATAACAAAAGGACATAATCAGATGCCTGTTTATTGACGTCATGAAATTGTAGAAAAAATTGGAATGGAAAAACTTGACAGAGACGGAAAAACTTCGGGGGAAAATAGAACATGATCTATTATCATCCAAATGCGTGGACCAAGAACTTGGATGATAGCTTACACGATCCAAGCAGAATAAATTTCCATCGATTTCAATCGATCTTGGTCTAAGAACTTGGATCGTTTAAACAGGCCATAAGGCCTGTTTAGACGATCCAATTTCTTGGACAGAGATTGATTGATATTGATGGAAGCTTGTTTTGCTTTGAGCTTGGATCGTGTAACCAATCATCTAAGGGCTTGGTCCAACTTCTTGGACGATAGTTCTTGGTCTGGTCTGGACGATAGTTCATGTTCTTCTTCCCATCCAAGTTCTTTTCTCCCTTAACCAATCAGCGTCTTACATTTTGTGACGTCAACAAGCAGGCTGCATTATGTCATTTTGTTGTCAGTTTTCATATATTTTAGTCCAAATAAATTGATCTGTTGGTGTTTATTTGTGTTATTTTGATTTTATTTGAATTTATTTAGTAATTTTAAACTTATGTAAGTATTATTTTATAATGTTGAACATAAACAATGCGCATACGCAAGTTTTTCTTTAAACGAATTAGTGAAATTCAAGAACTTGGATAGTGTCGACGAATCATCCAATTTCTTGAACAGAGAAATCCATCCAATTTCTCGGATTCAAGAAATTGGACCGTGTAAACAGGCCTTTAAAACCGAGAGCTTGGATGATCATTAACGCGATTAAGCTCCAAGCAAAACAGGTTTCCATCAATTTCAATCAATCCTGGTTCAAGAAAAATCGTATAAACAGGTCTCTACAAATTTCTTTTTCCTGTGACCTCTGGACACATTTCATTCTTGAAAATGTTTATTTATTATTAGTATTAAGTTTTATTTCCATGACTTTTGACTGTAATAGAAATTATCACAAAATTGTATAAATTGTTAATAGTATTTCGTTTACAAACTTTAAATAATTAAAGGAAATATTTATTTAGTGGTATACATTATATATTCTAAACATTTGTAAGAGAAACAAAACAAAATATTCCCTGCAGTCCCAGTATTTATATTAATTATATATCAGGTCTTATAAAAACTTAACCCCATTAGTAATGTTACTGTTTTTCTTGCCTTCAGTGACCTTTTAAAATTCAGTTAATTGCATTATTGTTTTCTATTAGACATACATTTCTTCTATTCAAATTACTTTTTTTAGAAATATTAGGGAAAAAGACAAATTTGAAAATTAATGTTGTTGGATATTTTGAGTCTGTAATAAAATCAATAATGAATTTATTAATTTCAAATAAGGAAAATCAAAAAATAACTTTTTTAAAAGCGAAATTTTCAGTTATTTTCAAAAATCTTCCCTTTCCTCACGTAGTTCTATTGTTTTTTTATTAAACAGCCATTTATTCTATTTAAATTACTTATTTTTTTGAAAAATTAGAGTAAAAAACACATTTGAGAATTAATGTAGCTAGATATTTTGAGTCAGTAAAAGGATCAATAATGAATTTATTAATTTGAAATAAAGAATATAAAAAAAATTTTTTTAAGAGCGAAATTTTCAGTTACTTTCAAAAATCTTCCCTTTCAACATGTAGTTCTATAGTTTTCTATTAAACAACCCTTTATTCTATTTAAATTTGTTTTTTTTTTTGTTGAAAAATGAGAGTAAAAAACACATTTGAAAATAAATGTAGTTAGATATTTTGAGTCTGTAATAAAATCAATAATGAATTTATTAATTTGAAATAAAGAAAATCAAAAAATAACTTGTTTAAAAGCAAAATTTTCAGCAATTTTCCAAAATTTTCCCTTCCCACACATAGTGATGTAGTAGTGAAATCTTCCAAACACGGCTCACTTCAAAAGAATTTATCAAATTTGCGCTTATTTGCAATTATTTAAATCTAAGGGACAGAACAATTCATCATTAAAATTTCTTTAATTTACAATATTAATTATTGATAAATTTTTAAATATAAATTCTTTACCTGTTCAATGAGCTGCACAATCGGTCTTGCCGATAAGCAGACCTAGTGTGTTCTCCAGAGGTGGTATCCACTCTTTCAGGACCACCACAATGGGTGAGATACTGTTGGTCATGTTAATTTGGACGTCCAGTTTCTGCCACACTAGGTGGCAGCACCGAGACTCTATTTGAATGCTAAAGTGCACTAGGAATTTAATTTTGCCGGAAATGCCAAGAGCCAATAAGGCACTCCAGGAATCTTTCTCATGCCGCATAATCATACGACATGGCCGCTGAGGATTTTCAGCATCCCGAAAATCCGGTGTCTGGGCCGGGGATCGAACCCTCAGACTTGGGCTCAGAAGGCCGACGAAAAACCAACTGCCCCACCCAGCCAGCCACATATAAATCTTTTTATATAATATACAATAAATATACAGTAAGTAGTATGAAAATTGATTTTTTAAAAATATAAATTTTTAAAAAATCAATTTTCATACTACTTATTGTATATTTTATATTTTAGTGCAAATATAAATCAATAATCTAACAGATTGTTTTTAGCAAGTATTAGACAATTTTTTATGATTAAAAAATACCAAAATATATTTTCACTTCAAGGATCGTCAGAAAAAAATATATAAAAAGGGAGCTGGTGTTCCATCTGCGTCAAAAGGCTAAAAGAATAGTAGTTATGGTAAAAAATCCTTTCTCACCATGCAAGCCAAAATGCCATTCAATAAGCCGACCAAAAAATTATATATCAATATGGTTCTTTTGATCTCCAATGGTTTCCGTTTTTCCAGTATCCATGGTATCAACCATTTTGTTAGTAGAATATATGTAAATGCTATAAAGACTGTAATTTTTGGATTTCTGGCAAGTGCTTTAGTTTCATATATATCTCCTAAAAACAATACATAATATCTGTGTAATCAAACATAATATCTGTATAATAACAAAAATATCACTGATAATTTCGCGTAAAACGTGTAAGTGGCAAAATTTATAAAGAAAATTACAGTTTTGCATGTATTTTACATTTTAAAATAAATTTAATAGTTAATAGAAAAAAAAAATGTTGGTTTAAATAGTTATTTTAAGTTTTTTTTTGTGCTAGGTATTTTATACTAAATCCGTCGTAGAACAACCGACCCAATTTTGATTTTAAGAGTGCCAGCGTTCAACTCCGCAGTCTTGTAATTTTGAACACAATCCAGAATACAAGGGAATTCCTGGATCAAGTATTGGGGGAAATTTGCTTCCGTGTAGGACTGTTTGATGGAACTAACCTGCATTTCTCTTCATGGAGAGGATTTACACACGAAAACCTCCTACAGTTAGCCTGTTGTAAGGGACTCTAACCCATGTTCCGTCTTTGAGGATATATTTAAAGTCAGTACTGTGTTCAGCGGAAGCCGGGTGCGGAATTCGTATCGACCAGCCATAGCAGGGATTCGAAACCGACTCACGTCATTTGGAAGTGAGTGCTCTGTTCCCTGAGCTGTACTAGGTACTACAAGAACAAAATAGACATCTGGCGTACTGTCTCTTAATCATGAGATAAGCTCCCAGTGATCTAGAATGACTAGCTAGTTTCTCGAAGTGGACCGACTACAGTCCAGTTGAAAAGTTTAAGTAAGGAGGGTTTTTTCAGGAATGTTCAGTATGTTAGACAGCATTTTGGGCTTGGGTGGAAATCTAGCACTTTTAGTATATTTTCGGTTATGATTTCATCATAATTGACGGATGCTCACTCACAAAACTGCTCTTTTTTGTATTTATACCAGACCATTTGCATAAAATTTGAGTCAGTATCTCCTTATCACTTTTTATAAGTTGAATATCAGTGTGTAGGGGTGACTCTAAGTCACCATAACAGGTTGCTCCGGAATCGCAGACGGCTAAGGCGTTGCTCACACTATAGGTTGGGGAGCTGGGGGTAATTAGTTCGATCCTGAGAGTAAAAATAAAAGAGAGAAAAAATTTGTGTGTATATTCAGAAAGGTGCACGTTAAAACTGTCGTGGCTGAAAGTCGTCTCGTTGCTTATGATAAGTTTGGTGAGAGGAGTACCAGCTCGTGTAGTGTCCACGTCGTCTGACCAGGTTCAAAATTAAGCGGCGTACCTTTTATAGCTTTTAAAAGATAGCACCCTAAAAATGGATCCTGGTCATGGTTAGGGGATGATGATGATGGTAGCTATGGAGTTTTAATTATCGTAGTTACTGCCACATATTTGGACGTTTTTAAACTGTTTGCCACATAACTGGACGTTTCGGTTCAAAACTCCGAATATTTCCATCTATTATAAACAAACTTTTGTGGCTGTCTTGGGTAGTTTTCTCATATATTCATGATGTTAAAAGAAATCAACTGTTGACTTTAGATTTATCCAAACTTGGAAACTACTGAATAAATAATCTCAAGAAACAGAATTAACATTAAATTCAAAAGTATGCGGATGGAAAAAAAAGTTGACATGTTTCAAGCGCTCAAAAATAGGCGCCAAATTTCAAAATTTGCCACACGTGAATGAAAAGAAACGAAAGTAATTTGAAGTATGAAACATACATTTGTAAATAAAGGTGAGAAACAAACTCAGGAAAAATGCAGTGGCTTACAGTGAAGCAAAAAGATGATAAAACAAAACAAAAAAACCACTGTGGCCGAGAAATGCAAATCAAGGTAAAATGTATTTCCCCGCGCTAAGGAGAGGAGGTGAGGAACTAATGTCGTTAACAAGGAATCAGCAATTACGTAAACGAAACAAGATTCCAGGGTATCAAGATGAGCTGATGTGACTGGGATAGAAATAATTTTGGCATTGTCAAAGTTGAATTTATACCCAAGGCTCTACCAATGTGCAGAAATTGATCATTTATCGTATTCTTGATAACAAACATATTTGTCTATTGAATAATTTTTTTCACATCTCATATTTCTAAATGTTTGCTGTCTGCATTATAAAAAATTCCTGTTCAAATTGCTTTAAAAAGTACCGACACCTTAAGTGTAGCATCCGTAAAATCTGTTTTACCGTAAAAATTCATACCGTAATTTTTAACATAAATAATTATTTAATTGCAGCGAAAACAATTTAAGCAGAGAAAGAGGCTAACGAATCATATTTTCCCATTAAAAGTTATCTTACCTAATGACTCTTAAGAAAAAAATACTAATTCCTAAACACAAACAGCTGAACATGATGTATTTTTAAACCCACAATTCTGAGATTTTTTAGAATTTAATTTGGCACCCTCTAATGTTTTGTTCTGCTTTTCAAGAAAAAATGTAACGGTCTATAGAGAGATAAGTAAGCGTTACTTAAACAAGTTTCTGTTGAATAACTAATATATATTCAAAACATACTAATATTCAAAAATATATACTTTACTTTTTACTGAATTTATTGATACGCTTGGTTAATTCTTACCGTCCGCTTTGAAGAAGTTGTAAATGTCGGTAAGGAACATTTTCTGAATCATAAAATTTCTTAAAAACAGCGTGCTTTAGGAACCTGCAATATATATATGAATGAAAAAATATCACTATTTTTAAAGTTTAGTTGCTCTTTATCAAACATCAACAAAATTAGACAATAATTAGTCTGACCTTACTGACTTTGACATTTAAATATTCTAATAAAGATACTTTTAGATGTCTTTATTAAATATTCTGTAAAACTTCTCAAAAATGAAGTAAGAATCTTTAAATTATATAAATAGTTAAGGAGCCATCATGGATGTCGATTACTGGAAGCATGAGAACCAATGTAATAGTTGGTTGACAATGTAAGACTGATCGATGAAAGTCTATTAGGTCTTTGATATTCTATACACAAACTAGATTTGATACTTTTAATCTCACTTGAATAAGCATTCATTGATGTTTGTGATTTTTTCATGAACGATAATACTTGAGAACGATCCTCTAGGCAGTGTTTCCCAAACTTATGACTTTTGTGTACCCTTTCTAAATTTTTTGCAACGCTGTGTACCACTAATTAAAAAATGAATGTATTTGTATGTTTAATTCGAATGAATGAATGAATTTTATGTATGAATGAATGTTTATTTTTACTGTGAAAAATTGCACATAAGTTAAAAATCACAACTGGCTGTTGACACCACTAATTATTAACTGCTAACTCTGCAAAAAATAGTCAATAGAAAAATGCGCAATCATAAATTTTCATGACTAACTTTGTTTTTAAATAAAATGTTTTGAAATTTTCGTTTGTTGCAAGATATTTCACAGAAGAAGGCGTAGCCCCTCTAAACTGTTCCCGTACCTCTAGGGTAGTGTTTCTCAAACTTATGACCTTTGTGTACCCTTTCTAAATTTTTTGTAACGCTTTGCACCACTAATAAAAAAATGAATGTATATTTCACTATTAAAAAAATTGCACAAAAGTTAAAAATCACAACTGGTTGTTGATACCACTAATTATTAACTGTTAACTCTGCAAAAAATAGCCAATAGAAAAATACGTAATCGTAAATTTTCATGACTAGCTTTGTTTTTAAATAAAAAATTTTGAAATTTTTGTTTGTTGCAAGATATTTCGCATAAGCGCGTACCCCAGCTAAACTTTTCCCGTACCCCTGGGGGTACGCGTACCACACTTTGGGAAACACTGCTCTATGGCGTCATCATAACACTTTACTCAATCCTGCAAGCGTCAGCAGTACTTTCTACAGACATTGATATGTACCAAGGAAATTGTTGAAGTTGTAGAAAGTATAACTCAAAGTGCTGCTGCGCAATTGTTCTGTGACGCCATGAGTTGTAGTTTATTGTAGTTATCAGAATTAAACTAAAGTCCATTTCAACTTACAGATAGAAATTAGAAAAAGCATTTTTTTTTTAATCTTCTGAGTTTATGCATAAGAGGCGTTTAACTACGTCATTTGTCTTGCTATCTTATACATGAATTGCTGTGATAATCCACATTCAAATATTTAAATTCAAAGATTTAACATTTCAACTGGTCAGTCTAAAAATCAAAGATAAGAGCCCAACCCCCAATTTCTCAACTGAAAATCAAAAATGAAGGAAGTAAAGTTATTATATTAACCGCTGCTTCGCAATCTAGAGTGAAATCAATTCTTGGAGCTTTGCCAAAAATCAAGCCAATCGGATTAACCCCACGATACCTAACGTTTATATTTAAATAATTTTACAAAAGACGAAAAAAATCAAAAATTCGTTAGAGAATAAAAGCAACCCAATAACGTATTTCGCTATCGTTAAAGCGGTTGGAGAAAAAAAGATTAAAAATCGATTTTTTATATACGCTATAGTGACCTTCAATAATAGTTGTTTACACACTTCTAAAATATAAGGTTAACTATTATCGAAAGAAATACTTGACACTCGCTTATAGAGTGAAAATAAAATAAAAAATAAAAAAATAACTAGCTGTTTTAAACATTAAGAAAAGGATTAATATTTATTAGATATGAATTTAAATTTAAGAAATAATGCCCATAATGACATGACAATACTCTAGATCAGGGGTTCCCAACCCTTTCGTACCTAAGAGCAAATACCAGAATATCGGTCGAATGGCGGGCACCATTTATTTTTTCAAGATAAATTTATAGTTGATAGACATAGGCATACCCTCCAACTTTGCCTACCTGGCCATCAGTAGCACTCGCGCAACACACATTTACGGCATCCCGCAATATTTGCTATGCTCATATTGATACTTAATTATATTCACTTATAATTTCAAAAAGCAGTTGATAAATATAAGAAAATAGATTTTGAAACAAGCGTAAAATTTTATTTCACATTGAGAAATTTTTTAAAACATTAAAATGCCATAGACTTTTAAAAAATCATGTTATTTAGATAGTACAATTTTAATTCACATACAGGAAGGTACACTTTTCTAAGGATATAAAATTATTAAATTGCAAATGAAAGTTTATTGTACATTTATACAAATTTCAAAGAAAAATAATATAACATCTCAGTAAAATGCAAAAAGTGAACTCTCCACAACTTTTTCTCTACATTCATTCAATTGTTACCAAA